AATTAAGAGAAACTTTAAAAACCTGATACTAAAGTGAGGGAAGAAATAGAGGAAGAATACACCATGGAAGAAAAACATTTCTTCTAAACTGATTCTGAGAACTGAGAATCTGGCTAAATTTGGTAACAAATTATCATAACTGTGGGAAAAGAAAATACAGGAAGCATCTATTTTGAAGAGCTATTTTTAATAATAATCTATTCATGGAGTACTTGCCAGCTGAATTGCAATGGAATAAATGCTGACCCTTATGTTTAAATCCCTAATTTGTATTTGAGGCTTAGAAAATCTCAATTTTAGATTTTTTTTTTTTAATCCACACTCAATCGTGACCGATTCTGCGGCGACTGCCTGGACGAGTCCCTGCAGTTTTCCAGGCAAGGTGTTTTGGAAGTGGTTTGCGATTGCCTCCTTCCTAGAGCGGAGCCCAGCTGGCAAGCGGAGGCGGGGTTTCCATTGCTTTGCACCTTTTTCGGGCGTACGCAGCTTTCCACGTTACTGGCAACTGGTCCCGTCTCCCGTGCAAGCGCCACCAGCATTTTTCCTCCCACTGGGGTGAGAGTACCCATTTATCTACTCACGGAAGCTTTCGAGGTGCTGGGTTGGCAGAAGCTGGGCATGAGACAGGAGCTCACTCTGCCACGCGGAGCTGGGCTTGAACCGCTGAAGTGTCGACCATTTCTGGCCGGCAACTTTCAGCATCATTAAGCTGCTGCGCCACCACGCCCCCATCATTTTAGATTATATACAGGCAATTTTTTTTGCTTATGTGCCATTAAGTTGGTGTCAATTCTTAGCAACCACATAGATTTTCTCCATGACAATCTGTCCCTAATCTGGTCCTTCATATCTTCCTCTTTTTTTTTAATAAAAACTTTATTATATTATATAAGAAGTACAATTAAAATACAAAACAGAGAGTACAGCAAAGAAAGAAGATAGAACTAAAAGAAAAAAAGACAAAAACTAAAATAGTGAAAGTAGAATGAAACAGAAAGTAACTTCCAATTATCTCCAATACAGATATAGATACAAACTGAAAGAAAATTAATCTCTTACCACTAATTAATCCAAGTTCACATTATTTCTATCAACACAAACCATCTTATCATTAAAACATTATCTCCAATACAGATATAGATACAAACTGAAAGAAAATTAATCTCTTACCACTAATTAATCCAAGTTCACATTATTTCTATCAACACAAACCATCTTATCATTAAAACCCACAATCAGAGCCTCATTTTTTCCCACACAAATACGTAACCTAAGAAGGGTCGCCATGAGGAGACAAATTTAGAAGCAGTATTATTTCTTATTAATGCTGTTAACTTCACCATTTGAACCAAATCCATTAATTCAATGATCCCTTCTTCCACTGTAAGTATTTGTGGATCCTTCCATCTTTGCACATATAACAGTCTTGCAGCTGTGATCATATACA